AAAGCTTTAACAAGTCTCTTTTGTAAATCCAATATAGGAAAATTATTCAGGTCACTCTTCTGGTTTGTTATTTGTATGTCCCTTTTAATTACAAAAACAGCTGGATTCTTTTGTATGTCCAGTGTAGCTTCTTTTTCCATATTGTCCTTGTAGCTTGTTATTTGTAAATCCACTTTCAGATCAGTCTCAGTCTTGTCTGATAAAATTTGTTCCTCTTCCATAACATCTTTTAAATACAGTGTATCTATAGAGGCAGACACTCTTAAAGTTATCTTCTGGGTTCATTGTTCAAAAATATTCTTCAGTTTGTCCAATGTTAAAATATTTTGTTCCATTCTGTACTAGTAAGTCAAATTTAAGTGTTCTTCTTCTTTAATTGTGATCTTTAGTTCCTTCTGGTTCCCTCTAGAGTCCAACTTTCAAAGTCCCATCCTATCATTTTTTAAAAAAAGAATTCAAAACAAAAGCATTTTCCCACAGGAAGGATTCTTATAATTAATTCCAAAATCTTATTTCAAATCCATCTGGACTCTTAGTCCATTTGTAACATTCCAAAATCAACATTCTAATCACCCTTTTGCTGTTTATTCCCCTGCCCCACATTTTTTTTAAGTCCTTAAACTTGTATTTAAAACTACTTTCACTAAGGATTGAAGGAAACTCACCCGCTGTTTTCAGATTTGTCAATCCAAAGGTTCCTAATAGCTGAAAAGCAGCTAACAAGCAATTTTTAAAAGTGATTAGAAAAGGAAGTATGTGAGCCCACTGTCCTTTTGAAGGCACCGACCGTGGTTTGAGCAAGATGGCTATTCCCGCGTCTCCCGGAGCTCTAAACCCACCAGAGACTGCTGACTTGTGGTCTCCTTGTGAGGAGCAGATATCTGGAGCACTTGTGGGTAATCTCAAGTCCTCTCCTTGCCCGGAAAGGGATTATGAAGAGCCGGTCTACTCACTGGCTCTTCATTCCCCCATGGTTGTCAGCTCCACTGTCTTCAGCTTGCCACTTCTTCCCTGGAAGTCCACTCCATTTAGCTTGTTTCAAGAGTGAGAGGAAAACACATTTGGCATTTGCAAACCATAGTTTAGCGCAATGTGTGAACGCAGCCAATGATCCGAACCACTCATTGTGCCAGGCCACTGTTTCTGCTAAATTAGATCAACTTAGAAGTATCATAAAATGTTTGGATGCAAACACCCAATGCAACTGGCCTCTCACAAAATTAATGTTTTAAATTCTGGCTACCCACAAGAAATAAAAGACCAAAAGGCTTGACAGAAAGTTACCTCCATTGCATTTTATATGAATACGAAATTTAGGTCAGTATTTTCTGCATACTTCATCTCAGTTAAATCCCCTCACAATAATTCTTTATTGCAATGGAAGTGTGTGTGTGTCTTTAAGTTTACATACTGCTTTACAGTGAAGGTCCCAATTATATCAGGTAGCAACAACTAACCAGATTTGTTTGGGCTCAGAATCTAAGCACTAACACTTGGATGGGAGACCACTAGGAAATGCCAGGAGTAGAAGCTACATTGGGAAATTGGAAACACACCCCAGAAGCAGGTAGAGACAAACCACACCCACGCTATTGACCCAAAAAGCTCAACTCAAAGCAGAGTTTAGTTACTTTACTTAGGTGCCGACACTCTGTTCTCCTAAGTCCCAGAAACACTTCCAACAGGCCTTCTTTAAAATTCATTTCAACAAACATATTTACTTGCATCAGCTCTCACTGGATTCGCCACCTTCACGGGATGCAACATTCATGCAACTTTTTATAATATGGAGATTTGGATGTTGAAAACTGCATCCATTTAGTTTTTTAATACTTGGTTTTACTCTCTAGATGGCAGACCTGGAATATTTTTCAGAACAGCCTCAACATGAGCAAA